AACTTTTATTTCACTTCAAACAACAAAAAGACAGCAGAAAATCAAATTCAGTGGTTATAATTTTCATAAGCCTCAAATCAGAATGAGCAAAGATATACTTTAAAAAATTTTATCTGTTTAGTTTATAAATATAAACATAATATATTATAATTATATTTATTTATACATATATAAAAATCAACTTTATTTCTAAATTTAGTTCCCATTTTTATATGCTAAGAACATAATCTTGTCACTGCTTGGTAAATAATTCTGGTTTATTCATCATTTTGGATTTAAACTAAATACATTTAACCGTTTTCCATTTTCCCTACCCCTCTTTGATGTGGTCTCTCGGTTCCAAGAAGGCTTGTGTGAAATCATGAGATCAAGGAAAGTGCCCAATCTTTGGTTTTCTGGTATTGACATCTGGTTTTCAACATCTGCTTCTATCCACATTGATGCCTGTGGAGATGAGAAGACATTCCCCCATGACTATGTCTTCTTACCCAGGCACTACTGCATCTGGTCTCTAGCTCACAGCATGTACATCTTGGCATTCACATCAGGACTCCAAGACTCTTTGGGGGCTCACAGTTTCTTCCTCTGGCAAGCTTACTTCTCTGCCTTTGGGCACTGGAAAAATCTACTGTTCTCCAACTACTATACATGCTGGTTGTAACTTTGAAAAACTTCCTTATGCAGTTGATGCTACTCTCCTCATAGGCTACCATGCTGGGCAGAGGGTTCATCTAGTCTTCGGCACCAGAAACCTTGATAAGAAAAAACTCCTCCTGGTAAATAGCCCTTCATGCCTATCGTTTGAGTCCAGAACCATTCTCAAAAACATCCCCAAAAGTCTTATCTCATACTCAAAATTAATATATTAAGTTTTGAAACTCAAAAATCTCCTAACTGATTATTCATTTCTCTTTACTTTTCCATTTTACTCTTCCCTGAAGTATGATTGGATGGGGAGATTTGGGAGAGCTCCCAAAGTGAAAGGAGAACCATAACTAATTTCTCAAAATTCTGTTGTACAACTTCCCCACCCACTTCCCTAATACATGCTACTGACTTCACAGCAAGACTTTCCTTGAAGGGGAATCAGAGTGGCACATTTCTCTTTGTACCACAGAAGCATAAATGAGAAATGCAGTGTAGTAGATAAAATATTTTAAACTGTAATCTAAATCCTCATAGTTCAAAGAGGAAACATTAAAGATGATTAAGGAATAAGGTGATTCTAATGAAAATGTTGAAATTTGATCCCCAATGTTGAATGTGGGACCTGGTGGGAGGTGTTTGAGTCATGGGAACAGATCCCTCATGAATGGCTTGGTGTCCTTCCCTGATAATAAGTTCTCAGTTTATTAGTTCACAGCCAGAGCTAGTTGTTAAAAGGAGCCTGGCACCTCCTCCTCTCTCTCTTGCTCTGGGTCTCACCCTGTGACATGCCTGCTCCTCCTTCACCCTCTTCTTTAATTGGAAGCTCCCTGAAGCCTTCACCAGAAGCAGATGTTGGCACCAGGCTTCTTGTACAGTCTGTAGAACTGTGAGCCAAATAAATATATTATAAATTACCCCAGCCTCAGGTATTTTCTTTATAGCAATGAAAACAGACTAAAACAAAGGACATACAAACCTTTAATTTTACCTTAGAATGAAATTTTACCTTAGAATAAATAAGTGCTATTGATATAATTGATATAATTAGCAAAGTGCTTTCATTTGAGAGTTTTGTCCCAGTAGAAGAGAAGGGAGTAGGAAGATGTTTAAGGATTGATCAGTTTTGAAGTTCCTAATATTTGAGGAGCTGTTTCTTATCCTGGTGTCCAGTTTTTTTCACTGCCATTCCGAATATGGTTCATTCTGAATATTGTGCCTTCTTATCGTATGTGTGACTGTTATTTAGACACTGACACCAATTTGAACCATGAGGACCTCAATATGCTTTGATATCATATGACTACATAAACTTGGATACTTTGTTAACTTTTCACCATTAGCTTCCTCATCTCCCAAGTGAGCATAATTGCACTTATCCAAATGGTGCTATTATTAGGATCTAATGAGATATTATTAAGGCCCAAGAAACAAGCTCAACACTGGTAAGTATTAAAATTCATGTGCTGTGCCCAACCATCCTCTTTCTGGAGAGTAAGATTTAATTGTTTGCAATGAGACCTTAAGTCTAATTGTTTCACTTTTTATGATGTATAGCTATGTACCATGCTGGGTGGAACATTATGTCACCATGCATAAAAAATAACCTCATCTGCAAGCACCGAGTTAAGACCCAGTTCAATGTGGGACACACTGCCTATCAGAGCTGTGCTCCTCCCTGCCACTGCTCAAGCAGAACATTGACTCTTACCTCTGCTTGCTTTCCCCAAATTCATAGAATGAAACAATTGTACCAAACATGAATTCTAATAAAACAAGTGTATTCTGCATGGCCTAAATTAGGAAGTCCTCTGCCAGAGTTCTATCCAGCATTTCTCACTGTGATGAAATTGAAAAAAACAAAAAAAACACGATAGCCCTAAGGGAGAATGGTGAATACAATATTAAATCAGAAACAAAAATATAATTAGTTATGCAAAGTTTGTCACTATTCCACTTATACCCTTTATTTCTTGAGGGGGGGGACTTTGTTCTTCTATTCCTTTTTATTTTAAAATGCTATAGACTTTAGCTTATGAGGGTAGAAAAATTACCAATGCTTGTTGATTAACTGAATAGTTACATAGATTCTTTATCAAACATATAGTTTTGTGCCTTGATTTATCAAAATAGAATGCAAAAGAAGAATGTTCAAAGAGTTTCTTTTTCCTTTCTTATGTTTTTTGACCTTTCCAAATAAACAATGACTAGTTCCTACAGTGTCTTTTTTAATAGGCACAGTGTGCTGTCCCCAAACCCAGGGCATACAAGTTTCACTTCTACAGGGAATGAGTATGAAGCTGATTGGAAAAGAGTTTCCTAATCAGTCTTTCAAGGGAGCTACGAACTCTCAAAGACAGACTTGAGTCTTGGGGCAGTATATAATAAAGACATTTCTTCAAATTAATTGCCCTGGAAGTCTAAACAAGTAGAATCTGAAATAGAGAATGTTGTTAAAGACAGGACATCTTATTAGTTTCTTGTACATAGAGTACAAATTAATGACTAACACCAAGTTATCAAGAAAGATACAGAAGAGTAATAATAAATGGATAAGGAAACTTTGTAATACTGTATTAGCTGAATTTGTGAATAACTGATTAAAATTCTTGAATAGGGTTTGTTTCCTTAAAATAAAATTGCTATTATCCTACTTAGTTTGATAGCTACCATTGGACTTTGAATTAAAAAGATAAGGTTTCAAATCCTGATAAGGTCACAAACTACCAGAACATTCCAGGAAAGTTCAGAGCTTATTTCCTGAATTTGTGTCGTCGATGTCTAGTGTCTATTTTCCTGGGCACTATATGGGTTTTATATTTTCTAAATCCTTTTTTTTATATGACTTATTTACTACCTTACATGCCTCTTACCATGCTATATTCTCTGAGGGAGTGCCCTCAAAGAGCTTATAGATAGATTTATGAAATAAATTAAATTGACAAAATAACCAAACTTGATTTACAAGCACATTATTTGGGGGAGGGGAGAGGGAGGGAAGGGGAGGGAGGAGAGAGAGGAGAGAGAGGAGAGAGAGAGAGGAGAGGAGGAGAGGAGAGGAGAGGAGAGGAGAGGAGAGGAGAGGAGAGGAGAGGAGAGGAGAGGAGAGGAGGATAATATGAAACAAAACCAGAAAGGAAACAGAGATATTTTAGGGAAAATGAGAAAATATAGTTTCTGCTGTATCTCTCATCCCTGATCCCAGTTTTTCTTAAACCCTTCTCCTAATTTCTACCTTGTGTTACTTTCCCTATTATATGTTTGCATCCACTATGTATGATACGATATACTAAGCCTATATTACGTAGCCTCATATAGTGATAGTCATTAGATTGCGGTGGGTCTTTCCGGCTGTCTTGGGTTATTGCCTTTCTTGGAACTAGTTTTGTATTGGAGCCAAAAAAACTTTGACTGAGATGAAAATTAGTATTGTGCAAACTGGATGAAAATAGAGATAAACAAAGAAAAATAAAACCAACTGGAAGACATTTGGGAAAGCAGAAATGAGGAAATGAAGAAGACACCTGAGCTAGAAATTAAGGGACTAACCTAAGAAATGTTATAAAGACATGCTCAACAAGAAAAAGTGGCCGGTCATAAATGGATCTTTGTAAAGAAAAACAAAAATTCACAAATATGATTAGATAAGGCTGTATTAAATGTGTAATATATATATAATACAATATCATAATGCTGAAGTATTAGATTAATAGATATAGGGAAGCCAGGGGATTATCCAAATAGTTTGTTTTTGGAGTAATAATAATTTTTTATTAAAATATAAACTCAGTGAGAATAAGCATTTTATTTGTTTTATTTTTACTATGTATTTATATCTAGAAAAATACCTAGTGGTTTATATTTGCTCAGTAAATATTTTTGCATAAGAAGGAGTGGTTTTTTGTATAATAGCAGAACATTCATAAGGACATGATGAGCAAGAAAAGAGCTAAATTATTTAATCCTTATTCAGTATATGAACATTATGTTAGTGCTAGAAAAATAAATCAATGAAAAACATGGTAAACCCTAATAAAGAGGACCTTGCAGTCCAGGAAAAAAAAAAAAAAAAAACGATCAAAGCTGAAGGTCCAGATGTAAGGTTTATTGGCACTTAGAACTTGAGAGTGAGAGCTTTTGGCAAAGGGGGTACCAGTTTAAATTTAGGGACATTTTTGTTTAATAAGTACTTTATCACTTTACTCTGCATCCTCTAAACAGGAAGAGACATCTTGTATTTTATAACATGATATCTAATGCATAGGTATTTGATGTGAGCAGCTTTTCCCTTTTCTCTTCCCTCATTTGTGTGCATCATCTGCATCTGTAGGGCTAACAATATTAAGTATCACTGGTAATTTCCAAGGGCTACTCGCAGAGGTACAGCTACTCTTTCAGAAATATGAACAATAAGACACTGATAGAAAAGTATGGTGGGTCCGGGTCCAGGTCCAGTGAGGAGGCCATAGATCATTGAAAGTGCAAGAGTCATAATTGAGGGGATCCCTAGTCATCAGTGGTGAAATCATATTGAGTGGCAAGAATAAAGGGAAAGGTGACAAATGAAAGAGGAGAATGAGCTGAGAGGATTTTAATCATAATGGTAGCATGATTAGAGAGGAGTATGTTAGAAAGAACTGTTCAGACCAAAGAATTTAAATGGTGAAGCCATACTTGGGCTCTTCATGAATGCAGTGCTTAGTTTGTTGTGTAGATAAAGTGTAATGGATCTCTGTATGACCAAAGAGGTGATGTTGATCCATAGAAATTAACCAGGTCACTCTACAGCTATGTCTATAGCCATGTGTTCAATACTTATTCACAAAATGCATAATACATGCAAGACATTGTGCTGGGAATTGTGGAGAATAAATCATCAATCTCATAGGAATTCTGCCTTCAAAGTGGAAATTAGTGAAGTTTATAAAAGAGATACACTCAAAGTAGTTTGAAATTTCCAGAAGAAATTTATTCTATATTCTGGGAAGATTTTACCTAAAGCAAACTCATCCCTAAAGAATGAAGAAGGCTGTCTTTTACTATTCCTAAGAAAAATTTCAGTTACTATGACTGAGGTCACCAAGCTCATATCTGTGCACAAGGAAGGGGACAGGAAAGAATGGATAAGAGGTCAGAAAACAGTAGGGTAGAAATTAAAATCCCCATTAAAATCATCTAAGGAAAGCATGGCAGAAGCATTTACTCTGCACGCTTTGCAGCTGATTCACAGGAGAATCGTGATTGATCTGGCCAAAGGAGCGGAAGGCAGAGTAGGGGGCTGGTGTGGGTTCTGCCATGACCCTTCCTAAGCATGGGCTGGAGTTAGAAGTTATGGATGAGAAGTCTTCACGTTGAATAGAGTCCACACCGTTGTTGTCCTTCTTGCTGCTAATGTCTCCCAGCTCCCACAGAGCTTGCCCTGCTGTGGCTGCCAAGTTGAATTGGTGGCAGGGGGCAGATTGCTTTCCACATAGAAGACCAGATATGATTTCTTTGCTGCTATGGCAGCAACTCAGGGAGAAGCTCTGTTGGAAGAGGCTCTACCCTAAACCCTTTAAGGCTAGCCAAGTGATTAATGTGCCTGCTTAAAGCCAAAGAAATTCCAAACACTCTGCTCTAGAGAAGATTAAGTCAGTGGGAAATCCAAATAATGAGAGCCCTGAGGAACCATTCTGAAATAAGAGGAAACTAAAAGCAAAACAAAACAACATCTCTTTAAAAGAAAAAGAAGAAAAGAAAAAAAAAAACTCAGAGAGGTTTAATAAATTTATATGACCTTTTACTGGATTGAAAACATTTTAGGTGCTAAATAAATAGAAGAGGGAATAGTGTGAAAGAGAAAAAAAATATATAGATGGTTCTTACAACTTTTCAGTGTTTGCCAACCCAAATTACAGTGCAGACCAGACTGGTAAACTAGCTGAATTTCTTTGGGAGTCCTCAGAATATGGAAAAGGGGAAATGGGGAAGGAAGAAGACCTGATCTGCAAGAAAATGAAAGAGAAAAATAAAATATCTAAATTTTGCTTTTCTAGTCCCTGAAATATTAATACCATCAGCAAATACTGCAAAAGAGTATTTAAAGAAAGAATATATACTAGAGATGTAGATGAAGAATAGCTGAAACAATGCCCAACTATCTAAGGCTGTTGAGTTTTTAAGATTCTTACTCAACTTCTGACTTGTTGGTGCTCATGTCTGTGGGGCTCTGGAGGTAGAACTAGCCTCCAAATTTCTGTGCCATGTTTTTGCCTATTTAGGACAGGATAGAGGACAGAGAAAGAGTATTTCCTCTATATTTAGACTTTCCACTCTCCTTGCATAGTTTCTGCCTTTTTTTTTTTTTTTTCCGTAAGCCAATTTTTCTGGCAGCTGCACAGGAATGTCAGATAACCATATAGTTAAATGAGTTTCCATTTCTCTGTTCTCCTTCATTCCAAGCTCAGGATGCTGTCCATGAAACCAATTCAATTATCATAAAAACAACCCTCCTTGTCTCTTTCCCTACTCCCTCTTGTCCTTAACTAGGGACTTGGCTCAAGCAGAGCATGGATAACAGTCAACTGTAGAGATAGAAAGACTGGGATATGTTGATGACCAGCCAATGTTAGTCTGATTCACAGCGAGATCTTCCGATCAACCAATAGTTTATCAGCATCTGAAATTTCAAGGAGTTTTTAAAGTGTTGTAGGAATACAAAAACTATTAGAACACAGGCAGTTCCTCAGCCTGGTATAGTGGGAAGAAAACAAGCTAAAATCAGAAGAGAGTTGACCTGACCCTGTGCTGTAATTATATTAATAACTGCTTTCCCTACACACTCCCTTCTTTAAAATAGCGTGTTCTGCTAGCAGTCCAGGGGGGCATGATGGACAGGCTTTTATTCTTGTGACACCACTCACTCCATTCACTGTTCCAAAAACACAGGTGCTCAACTCAAGGATGAGGTTGGGCTGGGGTGATTAGATTATCTAACTTGTAAATTTAGAATGGTAGGCCTTGGAGTGCTAGCTTTAGCAGACGGAATCAATGCTATGCTGAAACAGAGCTTAGGGAAAGCTGAGGTTAAAAGGAACCAAAAGTAAAATTATTGCAGAAAAAGCCAGTATACACAGAAATGAATATAACAAGTATGCAGGGAGAAGCAAAAAATATGTGACAACTATTGAAAGAGACTAAAACAAAGGGAAAGAGAGGGGTAGGAGACAGGGAGAGAAGTGACTAATGACTGCCTTATTAACACGCGGCCTTGTATTTTTTTGCAAACTATTCTCTGACATTTCTCAAAGTCTTATAGTGACCCTTGCTTTGACTTCAGCTTATATATTTTTATCCTTTGGAACCCAATTAACATTAATTACAGCAAATGTTGACTGGTATGTGGCCTAGAACAGATCATACTACCTCTTCTCTCAGAGCTATAACTTGCTTAACTTTTAGGATGGTGATAATTATTTCTCAATCACAGAACCGGTGATAATACCTGTGAAAATGCTATGAGGCTTGATATTTATCTGTCTACTAATGGTCTCTGAATCTAAATATCTACCCAGAGCAGTGATGGAGAGAAATTAGAGGAATCTAATCATGAAATTGGTGGAGGTTCAGGGGTCTCTGGAAAAGGTAAAATGCCAAAGGGTGTGGTGGGAAGGCCGGGTGGGGAAGAAGGTGGATCTGAAGTGGTGCTGAACTTGGTGTGGCACATTTTGAATGGGCTGTGAGATTAAAGATAGAAAACAAAAATTGGAGTATGGCTAGTGACTTCAAGACCATGTTTGAGGATTCAAAATTCAAGTTGGTTTTATTATAATTTTAATCTCTTTAAGGCAAATACAGGTTACATGGGGAGGGAGGGTGGTATAAGATTTATTAACACAAAGTTCCTCAATCTTTCATATTCATTTCACCCCAGTACAAAATATGTAATATTTTCCTCTCTAAAATTTGCATTTGAAAAAGATAGAGATGTTTTCAAATATAGACTCATATTATACTTTCTAATATATATTTTGAATATTATCATCATAAATTAAGATAACCTAATGAATTCTCCTGGCCCCTAATACTGCCCCACATTTAAGAATCAACACATTTGAAATGCTAGCTTCATGGACAGTATATATCCTACTTGTTATCAAAAGTAAGATGATTCTGAGGCACATTATAGTACAGTGTACTGTGTAGGTGTTAAGTGCAATGCCTGGCACATGAGGGTTCAATACATTCTTAAGGAAAAAATTAATCAGTAATGTTCCCTCTTAGTTTCCCATGATGACTTATAAGGTTCATTAGTTCTATCACTCCAGGAATTCTGATTCTATACAGAAGAATGAAGAAATGAGTAATAGGGGGATAAGGGAAAGCAATTTTTATGTTTTTTAAGAGAAAATCAGGCAATGTTCCAATCATGGAAACACACTGTTATTTAAGTACAAGTCTGTCCCTACATTTTTAATCCCTGCTATCTTATGATCTGCAACCCTGTCCATGCTCTTTTGATACTGAGGTTGTTGACACTAATGAAAGAAATACCATCATTACATCATTTAAGTTTAAAGAGAAAAAAAAATAGATGAAAAATTAGAAGACAAGTTAAGATCTTTATTTATAAAAATGATGTTGTAATTAGTTATAAATAGTTGTAATTAGTTATAAAAATGATGCATGCTCACTATAGATAAAATAGAAAGTTCAGATATAAAAAGATAAATATCTGAAAACATTAATTTCTAAGTAGGAAAAATCAGGGCAAAGATAAAATGCATTTTATATTGGCCCGATGATAGGAATACACATTATAGAAAGAAAAAATCAATAAAGACATCTGCAAACAGTATGGAGGGAAACCACCCAGGCCACTAGATTTTGTCACCCCAGGGCCTCATATGGTTTATTGTTATTGTTTTTAATTAAGTAGGGGTGCTGACAAATGTTCACACCATGATCTTGACTATGGCTTAGATTAGTAAAGGTTTTGCTTAGTTCTGTCATCAGCAGTTTATTCCTGGGGGCTTCCCAATCTCACTACCATCTCCCACAAAAAGAAACATCTTAGAGATATGAAACCTGTCTTATCTCTGGAATCTCCTTCCAAGTAGACACATAACCCATTTCTGTTATGTGAACCTTGTGAGAAAATTAGTAGGGTGATCAAAATAGCATTCATGGGAAAAGTTTAAAACTCACCAAATTTACATGGTAGTAATCCTTGATTTTCCCAATAGATTTGACTCCTAAATACCTTATAATATGAAATAGAAGGTTGTGTTGGCTACCTCTCTCTCTCTCTCTCTCTCTCTTTCTCTTTTTTTTTTTTTTTTTTTTCTGAAATGAAGCAAAACAGTTCCCTCCTTTGGACATTGCCTTAGTAAAGGCATTCCCCGAAGTAGGTTTCCAAGCACACCGGGTATTTTCACTCACAAGAAAAGGGAAAGGAATAAATTGCTCTCTCTGCAATTACACCAGGCTGGTCTATTGACACACAAGTGAATGAAATGTTTATACCCTGAGAGGGAGCCCCTCCATCATTCTCAAAATTGCAGGCCCTCAGATCACCACTGAATGTCTAGCCCTAGAAAATTTGCAGAGATAGACGAAGAATAAGGGAAAGAGTACATAGCAGGCAGCAGTAAATAGCTGTATTTATAGCATTGTGTCATAATGGAAACATCAATCCTGTTTTCTGAGGAAACTACTGAAAATCCTAACCATAATATTGTCCTCTACTTGACTGCCAGATTGGCTTATAACTTATTTTTTTCAAAAAGCTAGAAGCTAAATTCTCAGTGCCATGCAGAGTACAACCTGAAGATGAGATTGTAAACAATTTCAAAGGCTCATTTAACACAGAAACAGATATTTTCAGACATCAAACCATAGATCCCATGGTTGGTTTCTGTGGAGATCTCACGGTCTGATGGATAGGTGAGGTAGAGGTGCACACCAGCTTTGTATTGGGCACATAATAAACAATTATAATTTTTATCTATTTAAGCATTTAACAGGTAGGATATCATAGTTAATTCAGGATATACCCATTTGTTCCACAAAAGTTTCTGGAGTAAAAACCACCTTTCAGAGAATCTACCTCCATTTCATGTGTATGAAACATAATTTGGGGCAAACTCTAATGCTGTTTATGTTTAGAAATACAATCTTTTTACAACCACAAATCTAAGTCTTGTCAACAGAAGAAAACCCAAACTCTGTAAAATAATTTAAAGAGGTTTATTCTGAGTGGAACATGAGTGACTGCCAGCCCGGGGAATCCATAAATTCAAGAAATCTTGAATAAGTTGCCCCAAGGAAGTTGGGTTACAA